CTTGCTTGGGTGCCCATCTCCCAGCTGTGCTCAGGGTTGACTCCTGACTCTGTGCTTGGGGATCACCCCAAGTGGTGTTCGGAGGGGGACCATGTGGGGTTTCCGTGTTCGGCTGTGTTCAAGGCAAGCACCCTCCTGGCCCCCTCAGCGGGAATGTTTGAGGATGGCCCGAGAACAGAGCCGGTGACTACAGCCGGCCCGGGCAGGGGTCTCTGCTCTCCACACACTGAGCTCCAGAGCAATACCGAGAGGCAGACCTGACATTTCCTTTGAATGGAGTCAGGCCGTTCTCCCACCGATGAGACTCAGTTTCCTTTGCCTGGAGAAACCTCGTGGAGGAGGACAGGGCTGAACTTGCCCGGCCACAGGTCCTGTGTAGACCCGGCCGACCAGAGTCCCTCCCCGGACTTCTCACCCCACCCTGAGCAATGGGGCCCCCCTGGCTGAGAGGCAAGGGGCCCTCAGTGGTCCCTGTCGCCTCCAGGGATGGTGGCAAGAGGCAGAGAGGACTGGGAAGGGCGGTGTGGAGGGGCCAGCGCTGGCCTTGGTGCTGAACTGTCGCTGCACGTCAGAGGCATTTTAAGAGCGTGAAAATACCCATCACGGCGACTCGCTGAAACGGTTACATAAACGGTTACGAGGATCGATGCCTGAAACCCCACATAGACGTCAGCGTGACCGTCAGGCGGAGAAAACAGAGTACGGACCCGAGCGACGCAAAATCTGTCATTTTCATTTGATTTTTGTCCTCGGTTGACATCTTTGGTTCGCTTTATCGCTAGGCTTTAATACGAGAACACAGAGACTAGCTGTGTTATTGGATCAGATGATGATTAACCCAATATCCAGGGTGTTGCAGACACTGTGATGATGGGGTGAGGGGCGCATGGACGCTCACGGGGGTTAGTTAGGCCCCCCAAATCCCAAGGGAGGGGAGGCAAGCCATTAACTTGCAAGTCAGAAAATTTCCAATTTCTGATCAAGATGTTCTTCTTCTTCTGCAGCTTTTCTATTATTCATCTAAGCTCTCTCTTCTCCATCCTTCTAATCTCTCTTGCTTTCTCTCTCTCTTTTACACACACACACACACACACACACACACACACACACACACCAACTATCGTTGGAGATGCAGCCACTCGGTCCTTCTGAGTCGGAGGCTGCTGTAACGGGTGAAGAGTCCTTCCCAGCACCAGTTTTATGACTTGTTTCCAAGTGAGAAGGGAGAAAAAAAAATAGGGAAATTCCATAACAGTACTTGGCGTTCCCTTTCCTGTAGAAGGAACGTATCTGTTTCATCTATTTTTGGAGATCATATTCATTCGGATGCTGTGGGCCCAATTACCAATGTGACTCTAAGATAATCAGAGAAGCCAAACCCGACAGACGCTCCCAGAGAAGGAGGCGAATGACCACGGGAGTGAAACTTGAGGGGCACAGAGGTGACGCCCCCTTTGGAGAAGCTCTGATGTTGACTCAAACAGAATCCCAGGGCTGCAATGAGCCCCCATGCCAACCAGAGGCAGCCTGGGGTCTCTTGACAAACCCAGGATACACGTCCAATTCCATCTACAAATTAATCTCTCCTGTCCCTGATTTCTATCTGTACTCCAAACATTTGAATCCTTTTCCAGATGAGAAAACTCCCTGAACTCTGCTGTTTCTGTCTAAATGAGAGTGAGCTGAACAACCCGTGCGCCTCTTTTGCACAAATGCTGGACAGACCACACGCTCTCTGGGATGGAGTGAGCTGGGTTGGGATGTCAGTTAATCCAGCGGGGGGGGGGGGGGGGGAGGGGGGGGAAAGACGGAAGCTGAGCAGAGGCATGTTCTAGAAGGAGAAAAGAGAGAACAGTGCACAGGAAGGCTGTTTCCTCTGGGTCCTATACTCCAAGACCCCTTCACAGTGACTTCCAGTTCCATTAGGAGACTGGCCCCAGGGGCCACGGAACGCCCCTCCCTCCTCCTGGCCCACTGCCTCACTTCCTGTCCTCATGCCCCTCACCACATGGCAGCTTGTCCCCATGCAAGATCACCCACTTGGGACCAGCACCCACGAGCAGGTGCCAGCTCTTGGGACTGGCACCCAAGGGCCCATGGGCAGGCCCAGCTCCCGGGACCAGCACCCCCAGGCCAGCGGGGGGCTCTCAAGGGCCCCGTCTTTGGCCCTGAGGAGAGCTGGCTGATTCGCTCTCTCACCAGCATGCTCATCCTGGGCCCTGTTGCTGTACCGCCTGCTCTGGCTGGGCGCGGTGAGGGCAGGGCCTCTCACTCTGCAATGGCTCCTGGCACTGAGGGGGCATCACTGGGCTCGGGCATGGAATGCCAGCTTGTTTACTTCCCATCCACAGGAAGCTGCTGTGGATGGGAAACATCTCCAGAGAGGCCATCGGAAGGGGCGACTGCCTGATCTCCTGGGCCATCCAGGTGCCGTGGGTTTGGTTTGGCCCTTTCTCTGGGCACTGTGCCAAGCTGCCAGTCTGTGCAGTGCAAGGCCCTGAGGTCTGAGCTGGGCCTCCAGGGCCCGAGGGGAGAGGAATGAGGTCCAGCCGCGGGCTGACCCCGGCTCCCCTCTGGAAGACAAGGAGCGAATCACTGACTCGACACGTGAGGCTCTGAGGCCGGGGAACATCACTGATGAGCCCAGGGTGCTGGTGCTGATGACGCTGCCTGTAGGCCTTTCAGGGGGGCTGCAGGCAAGAGGGAAGACACCCCCATTTGCATTGGGGTGCCGTTACCCCAATCACAGCTCCCGATCACAGCACACGCCCGTCCCCCAGCACCACACCCCCCCATTCTCCTGAAGGACAAAAGCCGAGGTGCCCTCAGGAAGATGGACACAGGGGGGCTTTCCTCACCCCATGGCAAACCCAGGGCACCCCAACAATGGAGTCTGTGTCTCCCTGTCCCCCCAACCCTCGACCCCATCATGGCCTTGCATGCAGACCCCGAGGAGGGTGTCTGCTTCCTGGTCAGGCCACAGGCTAGGAAGCGAGGCGGTTCTCATGTGTTCCTTTCCTGTGGCAGCAGGGGCCTCATACCTGGCGGTGCTGAGGGCTGGCCCCTGGCTCTGTGCTCAGGGTCACTCCTGGCAGGGCTTGGAGACCTCATGGGGTTCCAGGGAGGGAACCCTCCCCTCTGTACCATCACTCCACCTTCCACTTGTCTACTTCTTTCTTTTTGATTTTGTTTTGCTTTTGGGGCCCGATACGGCAGTTGCTCAGGGGTCACTCCTGGCCGGCTCGGGGAACCATATGCCAGGGATCGAACCTGGGTCGGCTGCATGTAGACAACTGCCCTACCAGCTGTACTATCATCCCGTCCTTCGCGGTCTGTCTCTAGGGCCTAAGGAGGCCCTGGTCGGGACACGGGTCAGCACACAGCCGGGGGATAAGACGTGCGGCCTCCAGGGACCTGGAGGGGCTGCGAGCGTCACTCAGAAGGCAAGGCAGCTCTGAGTATCTGTCCCAAAATGGGTTTGACTTTGGCAATAACTGCTGGGTCCCTGCTGGGCCCCCGGAGGAGGGAAGGGGCCGGCACGGTGCCCGCAGGTGCCCATGCCGGCAGCCAAGCACAGGCTTTGCCCGGCAGCCCTGCTGCAGCTCAGGGCCCGGGGACAGGCTGGCAGCACCACGGGGCCAGATACGGCCACTTGATTAATAAGTAAAATACACAGAGCTCAAAGTCAGCCAGAGTTTACCGAAGCTCCCGGAGACGAACGGGTAGAGTGCAAAAATCCTTAAGTCAAATGTTTATGTAACACGAGACATAATGAGGGAAAACAAAACTGATTTTCAATTCAAACGCCGTGATGCATGGAAGAGCTGTTGACACAAGGAAGGTGACAAAGCAGGGGCTGTGGACGGGGACCCTCTGCGCCCGCACCTGCCAACACCGTCCCCGCCAGCGCCTGACGCCAGGCTGCCCGGGGCAGCCCAGGGCACACGGGCCGGGCACAGTGGGAGGACGCACCCGGGGACAGTGCGGGCAGGGCAGCTGCTGGCAGGCACCGATCCTCGGTGGCGGGCAGGGGAACCATCACTCCTGGCCAACCAGGGACACGGCGTCTGCCTGTCGCCACAGTGAACACAGTTGCCCCTCTACACCCCCCACCAGTCTGGCCTCCAAGGGTGGGCAGGACCCCAGGGATGAAGTCGGGGAGGCGGGGTGGGCATTCGGCAGCCCTCACTCAGGGTCTGCGCGGCAGTGGTCACGAGCGGGGATAAACAGACCCGCTGGACTGTGACAGCAGCAGGACCAGGGCCTGGCAGGGCAGGGAGGGGCTCGCCTTGCCCGCGGCTGACCAGGGCCGATGACCCCTGGCAGTGCGGACAGTCCCCTGAGCCCTGCCAGGCGCGATCCTGAGCACTGAGCTGGAGGTGAGTCCTGACCACCCCCAAAAGGCCACCCCCCTCACCCCAGGAAAAAGCCCAGTCAATGGCCGTGCATAAAAATGCGTGCTTGTGTTATTGCCAAAGTCAAACCCATTTGCGGGACGGAGGGAAATGTGAACTTCATTAGTTTGTACGCGCTCCAGAGATCACTCTGATTTCTCCGACTCAACCATTGCAAATGCAAACGCCTTTCCGAGCTTTTTTGGGAGCCACATCCCGCAGGCGGTGGGGGTGGGGGTGGGGGGTTAGGGACTCTGGCTGAGGGTGGCGGGGTGGGAGCCAGGGGCAGGGAACCCAGCCAGGGGGGCCAGGCATCGGGGTCACCCTGGGGCCCCCAGAGCCGCCGCTTGGCTCCCGCAGAGGAGCTGGGGGTCATTCCTGCTCAGGCCACGCCGGGCCACAGCTCAGCTGTGGGCACTGTGGAGTGGGTGCAGAGCTGGGCACAGAGATGGGTGCAGAGACGGGTGCAGAGGTGGGCACAGAGATGGGCACAGAAGCGGGGGCAGGGACAGGGAGGGGCAGGCACAGAGGCGACACGCGGGCTTGCCCTATGCGCCAGCGCGAGGACAGTGACCCCTGTGACGCTCTTCTGTCCCTTCCCCGCAGGCTTTCCTACCGGACCGGGCAAGACACGGCCAACTGTGACACATGTAGGAACAGTGCGTGCGTCATCTACAGGTATGTCGCCTTCTCCCCGCCCCCTTCTTGCTGGGGGACACGAGATCAGGGACACCATCGGAGGGAGAGTGAAGGGCCCACGTAGCTGCAGATCTCAGCCAGTCCCAGGGCTGCGCCCAGCAGACCGTCATGGGTGCGGGAGAGCTAGAGCCTCTTCGGGTCCCAGATGGCTGCGGTGGCCTCAGACTTTGGTCTCAGGGTGAAAACTTTGCTCTCCTGGAATCAATGGCCCGAGCGCTGGGCCACAAGTTCTGGAAACGGGGCAGAGGATCAACCTTTCCCCGGAGGCGGGCTGGAGGCGGGAATCTGGGGGCGGGGTTGGGGGTAGGAGGGGTGGGAATGGGGGCATACAGATGCCATTCGAGGCTTCAAGTCCTGGACGTGGAGGAGTCAGGGACACTGCATCCTGGGGGTCTTGACCCCCTTCCGGAGCCCCCCCCCCGGGAGATGTTCTTGGTATTGGTTCATCTTCAGTTTTGCTCACACATCTACCAGATCTGGCTGGTTTCTGGCAGCGATTTGGGGGCTTAAGACACGGTCTCGGGCTGGGGGCTTACGACACGGTACAGCAGTTAGGGTGTTTGCCTTGCACGCAGCCAACCAGGGTTCGATTCCCAGCATCCCATATGGTCCCCTGAGCACCACCAGGAGTCATTCCTGAGTGCAGAGCCTGGAATAACCCCTGAGCATCACTGGATGTCACCCAAAAACAAACAAAAAAAGACACGGTCTCAACTCCTGGAGAAGGGTCTCCCTCCACGCCCGCAGCCCAGCAAGAGATGGATAAGACCCGCCACACTCAGTCCTATTTTTAAAAATTATTCCCCCGCCCCCCCCCCCAAATAATGCTGATTTGCCCAATCTGATCACTTCACTGCATAGCTATTTATCTAAGATGGCACTTGGTGACAGCCATCCCCAGAGACACCTTCCCAAAAGGATCATCGCATCCGTCATGTGGCGGGCGGGGGAGAGAGCACCGCAGGTAAGGTGTGTCCCTCCCCCCACCCCCCGCCGCCCCCGGGGGACTGCACCCAGATTGGTTTCTCAGCAAGACCGAAACAGCCGCATCGGCCAGCATGACCTGTATCCTGCCAGGGCACGGAGCCCTGGCACCTGGCAGCCCATGGTACCCAGTCCCTGGGAGCACTGAGCGGAGAGGCCCGGGACGTGGGAAGCAGGCATGAGCCCTGCGGCCCCCCCTGCAGTAGCAGCCTCTCCCGGTCCTGCATGATCTGAGGTGGCAGAGAATCCTGCATCTCTCTGAGGAAGCGCCAGTGGGTGGCGCAGGGCCCGGTGTTGGCCCCCTCAGGAACGGACCCCCAATGGCTTTCTCCCGCGGCCAAGCAGAGAGAGGGGAGCCAAGCCCCCAAGCACGCCTGGCGGCACCGACCAACTACACAGGGGAATCGGCAGCCCGGGGGTGCCCGGGTTCCTCTCACTGAGGTGACAGCACAGAGGCTGGTATTAAGCGTAACGTGACGAGTCCGGGGAAGACCAGGATGCACCGTTTTCTGGAACCAGCCGGGAGGGTTTGCTAGACCTGCCAGCTGCCCCAAGGCAGACACCAGCCTGCAGCCCTGGGCTCCCCGTGGGTGGGCCTCTCCTGAGGAGGGCAAGGGCCTGGACAGCGCCTTTGGGAAAGGACTTCCGGTCCCTCCACAGACCATCGGCCCCCTCTGACCCCCACCCAGCCCACAGGCCCGTCACTGAGACGCGGGGACACCCACCCTGTGGGCGGTCTGCACCCTCACTTTTGGAGCCCGGATGCTTCCATGGAGGCGCCGTCCGGAGACCGGAAACATACATGATGCATGAACGTGGCTCAGACGCGCCCAAGATCCCCCACTCAGCTGGCGTCAGGCGCCAGGCTTGGGCAAGCAGGCTCAGCGTCTCGGGGACACGGTGGCCCCAGGGTCCAGAGCCGGAAGCAGGAACACGCCCTGGCCTGCAGAGACACGGCCTCGTGGGTGCCCTCTGGGCCGGGACTGGCAGTGCCCACCCACTCTCCCCAGCTCTCCCCTCTCACTCTCCCGCTCCCCTCTTGGTGTGGAGGGCTGAGCCATGAACCCCCTCAGGCTCCCTCTGCCGAGGAAGCAAGAGGAAAAAGAAACGGGCATTTGCGGTCAGCCCGAGAGCCCACCCTCAGGATTCAACACAAGGCTTTCTCGGGAGAAAAGTGCCCGGCGGGCGTCGAGCCCAGGACTCCACATTCCAAAGGCCAGAACACTCTGCCTAGCCCTTCTGCACCCTTCGGGGCCCTGCTGGCCAGTGGAGGAGAGGGACAGGCCCCCCCTGGACATCTGAGTCTGCTTGGGGCTTGCACCCCAGACGTGAGGCCCCCCACCCTATCTGCCTTCTCCTATGGCAGGCGGGCACCCTCAGAGCGAACGGTCGGCGGGTTCCAGAAGGAAGGAGCGCGGCGCCCACTCTGCGCTCGCTCGCACCCCAATGCCGTGCGTTTGGGACCCGCTGCTCTCTGCCCCCACCGGCGTTGCTGTCCACAGCGTGCCCTCGCACCCTGGCACGGATGCCCCTCTGCCCGGAGCGCTGGGTGGCTGCTCCCTGAAAACCAAGTTGGACACGGAAATCTACAGAGCCCGGAAACGGCCTCCGAAGGACTGAAGGTCTGGACGCGTCTCAGGAGCAGAGGCTGCCACAGGAGGACGGACGCGTCCCCTGCCGGGGCGCCCAGAGGTGGGGCCCACCCAGGAGGGACGCCCACTAGGCCACTCGGCTGCCCACGCGCTCAGCCCTGCCACAGCCCTAAGGGGCGCCTGAGACAACACAGGCAGACGGGCACGGATGGCACAGACGGCAGAGCGGGACAGACAGACACAAATGGCAGAGGGGGACAGACAGACACAGGCATTTCTTCGCTGAATCCCCTAGTCACCCCCAACTCTGCCAGTCTACTGTGATGCCCACAGCTGCTCCGAGGTGCTGAGTGCCCACCGTGGGGACCCACAGAGACCCCAAGAACCCCAAGAACTCAGGCCAACAGCGACCATCACCGGGAATCACGTGTCAGCATGCATGTGTGTATGAGCATGAGTATATGTTGAGTGTATAAATGGGACTGTGGCGGGTATGTGAGTATGTGTGTATGTGTGTGAGTGTGTGCGTGTGTGTGATGTCTGAGTATGTGTATGTGAGTATGTGAATAAGTGTGGATATGTGTAAGTATGTGTATGTGTTTGTGTTTGCATGTGCGTTTGTGTGCATTTGTGTTTGTGTACGTGTACATGTGTATATGTGTGAGTGTTTGTGTGTGCATGCGTGCACGCGTGTGTGCATGTGTGTATGCGTGTGTGGGTGTGTGTGCTGTGTGTGCGTGTGTGTATGTGTGTGTCTGCGTGTGTGTGCTGTGTGTGCGTGTGTGTATGTGTGCGTGTGCGTGCATGTGTGTACGCCTGTGTGTGTGTGTGCTGTGTGTGTGTGTGTGTTTGTGTGCAGGACTGGGACATCACCCAGGGTCTCACAGTGGCAATGCCAAGTGCTCAGCACTGCTGAGCCCCTGCCGACCCTAGCTGGGAACTTGGGTGGTGACGTGATTTCACGCCCCCCACCCTGGCCGCCCCTTCAACTGGGTGGGGGCCCGGCTGTGAGGAGCTGACGAGAGGCAGCACCGAAGCCCCCAAGTGTGCGAGAGAAGCCGGCCTCCGCGGCTCTAGAACTCTGCTGCCTCTCCCTGCTGTGCAGACGGGCTGCCGTAGCAGAAACGGTTCCTGCTCCATCCCGAAGCGTCCCTGCGCCCGGGCCAGCCCGGTGGGGTGAATCACCTGCGCATGACTCACCTTTGGCTCGGACCTGGTCTCGGACAATAAACATCCCGCAGCGCCCGGGCTGTGAAACCAAGCCACTCACACGGACACCCGGTGGGCATCCGAAGCCTGTCAGGAGGAGGACGCACGGGGACCTCGGCCCCACTGGCGCGGCCACGGCGCGAGGCTGACGCGGCTGAACTGGACGGAATCCCTTGCTGCCTGCCTGTGAAGAGTCTGAACTGAATCACAGGACCCGAAGCAGCCGTTCTCCAGGCGGGCACGGAGACGTGCCCAGAGAGCGGGGTGAGGGGCTGTTGGGAGGTTGCCAGGCCGTCGCCTAGAGCCAGGCGAATCCAAGTGTGTCTCTGTCTGTCCGTCTGACTTGCAGGCGTGAGGAGGCCGCCTGGGTGGGATTTCAAACCACCGCCCTGATCACCCCAAGCCCTGTGGCCGTGGCGGCCTCAGTCCACGTCTCCCGGGCCCCTGAGGAGCTGACAGGCCAGAGCCAGCCCGGGGGACCCGGCGTGGAGCTGAGACCCAGGACCCAGGGCCGTGCCCGCGCCTCAGCCCAGCTGCCCCCAGCTTCAGGCTCAGGACTGGGGACATTCCCAGGCAGGGGGGCGCTGGGTGGTCAGGCAGTGGGAAGGTTCCGGAACACGCACTGCTCTGAGTGTTGGGGCCCGTTCTCAGCTTCTCCAAGTTTGCCCAAAAGGACAGAAGGTTCCCGGAAGGAGGAAATCACCCACTTCCATGGGGTGCGGCAAGGAATTCACAGCAGAAAGGGGCGCGTCTTCCTTCCTTCCCTCCCTTACTCAACTCTGGCGTGGTAACTCATGGCCCCTCCGATGGGAGCAGGAACAGGACGCCGGAAGGTTCCGGGGGACACTGGAATTTCATGCATTCTGGGGCTTGTGAGAAGGGGAGCACGGACCACCCCAGGGCAGCCCAGCCTGGGCCTGGAGACTGATGAGGGTCTAGTGCACGAGGCGAGGAACCAGGCGGCAGAGAGACATGCCAGCCGCCCGTGACCCCTGCCCCACGGGAATCCTTGGGACCTTTGTCACGAAACGGTCACTGCTTCCTGCAAGTGGACTCTTCAGCCCCTCCCATCACCACCACTTGTGCATATTTCATCACTGAGAAATGAGTCTTTTGTCCCATAGTTTTCTTTTTTCTTTTTTAACCGAATCACCATGAGACACAGTTACAAAGCTTTCACGTTTGAGTTTCAGT